TTTGTGCTTTAAGTGAAATATTTGTAAAACTGCTGTTTTCTTCACTACTCCTGTATACATTCCACCATATGCTCAGAAAAATTTGTAGTCTGGAGAGGAGTGCTTCATAAGTTCTCACCCATCATCGGAAGTTGGTTTGAAAGTCTGAGCCAATAGGAAGCTATCCAGTGTTGATTGCTAGCTAGGAGTGAGGAGCCCCTTTGGTTTTCTGCACAGTATTTGTCACATGATCTCCCTTTACTCCAGGTACCATCCTACCTTTCCTCCTCACTGTATCATAGTCCCAGAGATCCTAAAATGACGGTGCATGGATTTCCTCCTTTGCTTTTGTGATGTTGTTGTCTTGTGGACTTGGTCCAGGTTAGTAGTTTGCCAGGAGCGTAATCCATTGAATAGCAATCCGTAGTCACAGAATCTTGCGACTGACATTTTCTGTATGTAGTGGGCACTGAGATGTTACCTACAGGTTTTGCTAGTTGTCTGTCCAGCGTTCCACACAGTGGGGAACACAGACAAAGGATAGCTTTGGGGCATGAGCATCAGGAACCTTTGAAAAATCCATCCAGTTTTGGAGTTAGGCTCATCCTAATACAGTTACTGCCAATGTCATGTGTCCACAGTACGTCATGTCTGGGTATGTGGTAGTAAAATTAAGGAGCAGCTCTTTTAAAAAGTGAGTTTTAGCAAACTGTGTTGGTAACAAGCATCCTTCTGAGGTCTTCATATACTACCTTCTGATGCAATGATTTAATGTTCTTATACATATTAAAGGGAAAAAACATTTAAATACTTGTTAAAGGGATACAGTTTAGAGGGTTACTATGTCAGTTTATCCAGACATATCCCATCAAGGAAAACCTAGTGGTAGCAATACATCTTCTCAAAGGACTTCTTATACTCATGCAACTTTAAGTACCTAAGTAATCAAAAGCATGCCCTGTTCAAGTTAAAATGGAGATGTATTTAGGGAATTTAGATAAATTCAAACATAAGTCTGTCAGATGAGTTGGTGAGACCGATGAATTTTGTTTCCTTTTTGTTCAAAACTCATTTATTTGGAATCAGTCCATGTGGCTTCTAAGTCAGTAATAGCCCAGTTATTCAGGATCTAAATGTTCTGGTTTGTTTACTGAGAACTTGGAGTCTTTGCCTTTGACTTGGCCTTTTCCCTGGAGAACTGCTCTCTCAGAAGTACAGGAAAGGTAAAACTGAAGTCAGGTGTGTGAGTTTAAAAGTCAGGAAGAAGAAGTTAGAGACAAGGTTGAAAAACACACAGGCCTGTTTTTGGATGACTTGAGTTCTGTTAAATCCGCGTTCTTTTCTTTGCCTCACACTTAACCTTCTGTGTCTCCATCCCTGCAAGTGACGAGGGTATTTTCCAGCTAGAATGCCACTTTGTACAGTTTTTCCTTTTACTCTGATGTGCATGTTTGTCTAATTCACATTTTTCTGTGGAGTTTCCTATATCCTTAATCTAAGTAATTTAAAGTAGGAATGGGATAACTTTATTCTTTACACAGTCCTATAAATGGAACTTGTAATGTCTGGTTGTAAGGACAATGTGAATTTGTCGGTAAATGGATTGTATGACAACCAAGCATATCCCGTGGATTTGGAAGAAATAGAGCCTGAGATTTGAAGAAGAAAAAGAAGGTACAAGGTACAAACAACTTTAACTGCCAGTGCCAAAGGGCTAATTTTAAACATAGGAACTTTATCACAGTCTTAAAAAAAATATTAATCCTGATCAATTCCACTTTATTTAACCCTTAGTTCCCAAGAGGTTGATTTTTTTTTTAATGGGTCTCAATATTGTTTTCTAAAATTACATTCTATAATTGTTATTTTTTAGAAAACTGTACAGAAAGTAAGTAAATTAATAACTTCAATGGGAATCTAATTTAAATTTTTTAAAAAAATTTTTAAGTAAATGTGTTTCCATTGCAGTAAAAGAAATAGGTGGCATGTATATTTTGGCAAAAGAAGCTATTCTGTGGTTATTTACTTTATCAGTCTTAAGTTATTTTTTTTTTTTCCTTAAAGAAATTGTTGTGATAACAATATGTGAATTTACTAGTTTTGATCATGACTGAGTCTGTTGCTTGTTATGTTTTTTGTGAGCAGTTACGCTTTTTAAAAATATCTGTTTTCCTTTTTGGTTAATATTGTGAGCATGGATGCCAAAATTATTTTGTCCTAGATTCTTCATTTTGTTTAAAATGTTTCTAACACTATGACAAGCCAAATCCAACTTTCAGAAGGTGCTATTGCTACCTGTGGAATAACTGGCAGCAAGACAGGCTTTTTCTTTTCAATGGTTGGCTTTTACTCGAAGGTATTAAAAAAAAAAAAAAAAAAAAAAAAAGGAAGAATTTGTAGCCTTGGGTATGTCCAAGATTAGGACTGGGTTGTCAAGATTTTCTTTTGAAAAAGGAAATTGCCACTACTGAATTTACTGTATTATTTCTAAACTTAAGATTCTTTCCTTGATGCTTGGACCATTGGAGTGAACCGGACCAGTGGAAGTGCTGAATTTGCATTAAGCTAAGAAAAATTAACTCCGCACTTTATGGTTTAAGTTTTACTCTGCCTTAAATTAATGATAGGCAGAGCAGCCCTGAACAATATATTTTGTTTATGCACTCCTGTTGAAGAATATAATTTATGTTTTTTTAAAGTTTGTATCTTTCATCTGTTGAAGCTGTTTAAATCTTTTTTAAATGCAGTTTTTTAAAATTTTGTTTTTCTAATAAAATTTTCCCCCAAAACAGCATTTCCAATGGTGATAAACATTGTTACTATGTACTTATGTATTCCTGTATCGGAACACTTGTTGCTGCCTCACAAGAAAATAGAACTTTTATGTAAAAAATAAAGTCTGTTCTTCTTGATTTTTTCCTGTGTACTTTTATGAATATAGCCTCAAATTTTCTTTTCATACACTGCAAGCCTGAATTAATTTACAAATAGTATATTCTTTTTTACAAATTAATAGAAAATTGCGTTTGTGTTAAGTAGCAGGATATATAATACTAGAGGCCTGGTGCATAAAAAGTAATGCACTGGAGGGGCAGGTCCCTCCAGCCAGCCTGCCCTCTCTCACAATTTGGGAGTCCTCAGGGGCAGGAGGTGATCCGGTGATCGGGGGAAGGCAAGGTCCCCATCACACTTCTGCTGCTGCTACTGCTGACAGCACAAGCATTGGCTGACCCTGGTTACCTGAGCCTCGGGCAGCCCTAGGCTGCTGGGCAGCCGACAGCCAAGGCTAGCCTGCCCCTCGGGCCTACCCTGGGGAGCTGGGGACTGAGGAGACAGGGGGACTCTGGATGCAGGCCTATGGCAAGGCAAGGCTGAGGGGACTGGGAACCGCCATCTTTAAGGACATGGCAGTCAATGAGCATATTCCCTCGTAATTGGCTGTTGGCGCTGCCATCTTTGTAATGTCGTGAAGGTCAATTAGCATGTTTTCTCTTTCTTAGAAAGGACTGTCGCTAATTACTTCTTGCTTCCTCCTTCCTTTCTCTAGAACTTCAGGTACCTGATCTTTGTGGTAAATGCTAAGCAAACTTAACACAGGCTTTTATTTTTATTTATTTATTTATTTTTTAAATATATTTTATTGATTTTGTACAGAGAGGAAGGGAGAGAGATAGAGAGTTAGAAACATCGATGAGAGAGAGTCATCGATCAGCTGCCTCTTGCACACCCCCCACTGGGGATATGCCCGCAACCAAGGTACATGCCCTTGACCGGAATCGAACCCGGGACCTTTCAGTCCCCAAGCCGACGCTCTATCCATTGAGCCAAACTGGTTTCGGCAACACAGGCTTTTATTGAAAGCATATTACATACAGTTACAAACTTAGTAGATGATACGAATTTTAAAAAGACATAGTCTTTGCTCTCAACTTTAAAAATTAGAAGGTGAAAAGGAGCCTACATAACTGCAACAAAGGATAAAAAGTGAGAAGCAGATTCAGCAAAGTTCACTGAAAAGTGTGTGGGAGTTCAGATGCTGCTTCCACTTGTGAATCAGGGAAGATCCTCGTAAAGAAATGACATCTGAAATGAGCCTGATATTCGTCACTTTTTCAATATGTAGCCATGGCTAGGATCTCATTTTATCCAGGTTAAAATAAGACTTTATCTCTGAGCCAGGTCAAAGCAAGTCCTGCAAAATTACCTTTAAGCTTATATTAGTAACATCATTAAACACACAAATAACAAAACATAAACTACTGAAGTTGTACATGGAGAGCTGAGCGGACATTGTCGCCATGCTGCGTTTACATATGTCTGGAACCCAGGGCTGCTGGCATCTCACTCCAAAGGAAGAAGCCTGACAGGAGGCTCACAGTGTGACCTGATAAGAAGAGAGATAAAGTTACTCTGCATGAGGTGGAGGCGAGAATTGAAAGTAAAAGGAAGGGGACTGAGGAAAGAAGAACTAAGGAGAAAGAGAGAAGAAAAGTGGGATGGCAAGTGGGGAGTGGATGAAAGAACAGGAAAGATGGGCACAAAAAACTCACCAGCACTTCCTAAGCAAAAATGCAAGAGCTGTCAGGAGCACCAGGGGCACCATCACTGCCAAGATGATCCAGCCCTTGGAGCTGTGATGGTGTTCTGTGGGTTTGGGTGCACACAAAGTGTCATTTCAAACCCACCCCCTGTTTACTGCATTTCCCTGCTCTGCCTTTTTTATTAGTGTTCCCTTCACTAATCTTTGTTCTTGTTTCCTCTCTCCTCCCTCTTCAGAGTTGAATCTTTCATCTAACCCTCAACATCTTCCTACTTCTGCAGGTCTCTCATTTTTTTATTTTTTTAAAATATATTTTATTGATTTTTTACAGAGAGGAAGGGAGATGGATAGAGAGTTAGAAACATCGATCAGCTGCCTCCTCCAAACTCCCCACTGGGTATGTGCCTGCAACCAATGTACATGCCCTTGAACCTGGGACCCTTGAGTCCACAGGCTAACACTCTATGCACTGAGCCATTTTCTACTCTTCTATTTATTGAACTATTTTCAATCTTTTGCGTCTGGAATCCATAAATCCCAAGTGTTTCACTTTGCTCTCCTGCTCTGCTTGTGGACCATCCACTCCCATTCCCAGTGTGGGCCCTAGTTTTTCTTACCCAGGTAGAGGAGGATGTCCTGGCCTCCCAGGCTGCTGTGTCTCACTCGGCAATATAGGCCAGATGTCTCAGTGGCTTCCACCTCCAAGAAAACCTGAAGGTACCATGTCCCATCAGCATTGGGCAAGATGCCACTCTGTTGAGTGCGCTGCTGTATCTGTTCACCTCGCATCCACTTGACCCAAATTGGCTTTGGATGGAAGCCAGAGACATGACAAACCAGCATCTGGCGGTCAGGACTGGAACTGGGGCCAGTGGACAGCCAGGCCTCTGGTTTTACTGCAGAGGACAGGAGAGAGATTCAGATAAGGACTAACACAGACTTGGAGGTTCATTTCTTCACATCAGTTTAGATAGACATATCTATCACATGCTGGCAATTCACACATTATTCTCTCTCCTGACCCCTTATCCTCATTTTAAAGGGATGGTGGGAAGGTATAATTTTAGAAAATTCTTGGAGGAACGATATGGGACTGACCTTCTCTCTGGAGATCTGCCTTTCCCGCTTCAAGGATGCTCAAGAGGAAACGTGGGCAGGTGTCACTGAGCAGCCTCCGTATTATTTTGTTGGCGACATGGTACTGACTGAATACTCTGCTCATAGGCTCAGCTCTAATTTCATCCTTTACAGAAGGCAGCCAGGAATTGTTCTGGAAGTGCAGGAGTTCTGATCCTTGATAAGCAAGTAGATAGAAGGCTACTATGACTCCCCCAGGGTGCAGCTCACAGCCTCCTGTTGCCTGTACCTCAAAGGGATCTAAGGAAGAAAGGGTATAAATTAGAGGAAAGCGGGAGTAAAGATGAAATTGCTGTAAGCAAAAAAAAAAAAAAAAAAAGGAAAAGTAGTTTGGGGGATTTGAGGTAATGGAACAAAATTTGGTTTCATCAGAAGTTCAGAAAAAGTGGGATTTGTGGTAGTTGAAAGTGGAGGAAAAAAATGACTTCTTTTTTGGAAATAGAAGTTAGCAAATTGTTGAAAGCAGGTGACATAAATGGTGAGAGCAAGAGAAGAAGAAAGCACATAGTGAGAGTTATGATTATAAGCCAGGGTGAATGAAATGCAATAGTTACAATAGCTATACAGACAGAGAATGCTGAAGAGATTGAATGTGTAGGGGGAGAGGGGGTTGGGGGGCGGAGGGGACTGGATTAAGGAACTCCTTGAGACACACACACCCCTCTGCCAGCACACTGCACCTCCCCATTTGGGGAATTGAACTTACATTTAAGCTGCCATTGACGGGCATGTCTGTGAAGTTTGTTCGACATTTCAATGGAGAGCGCGTGGTGGTACTCCATCACTTCTTTTATCTCTTTCTTGGTCAAGTTGCCCTTAGACCAAGGACGCAGGAAAACAGTACGGCCAGAGTTGTCCTCGCCATGAGTCTGCAAGTCACCCAACCAAGCAGAGCTCTGACTTTTCACCCAGGAACGGTTGTAGAAGGATGAGCTGTGGATAACTTTGAAGGAGATATCCTGGAAAACTGTGGCAAAAGAACAGATAGATGAGGAGAAGAAAAGGCATTGGTAAGGAGAGAGAATGAAGAAAGGTGCCAGAAAGGAAACACTCAGAATCTGGAGATAAGGGAAGCCATGGCTACCTCAGCAGCATTCAGCTGCCCAGGGCCCCATGCTTTCCAGACAACCTTCAGAAGGGCACAAGGTTCCAGAGTACGGGATACTCTTAACTGTGCTGACATCTCCTCTCCAGGTATGTTCTGAGGATGCTGTACCACAGAGAAACACACACACACACACACACACACACACACACACACACACACATTTGTACCCCACAGGGCAGTGGCCAGAGTTCTTACCATCTTCATTGTCACCGGCTGCGAGGAGAACAGCTAGCAATGGAATGTGCAGAAGCAGCATTTCCTTTACAGATGTTATTTCTTTCTCAGGAAAGGTTGTCTTTGGCTTCTGTTTTAAATAAAACTACTTCACACTACCTCTATTCTGTCTTCCTTCATCTAACAACAGACCAAAGAAAACAAAAACCCAGTGTCCTTCCCTAAATTCTAGACACCAATTCAGCCTCTCATTTCCCCTAAAGTTCTGACTTTTCTCTGGCTTTCAGCATCTTCCTTGTACAGCCTTCATTCTGATCATCTTTCTCTAATTCATCTATATAAAATAATTCTTATGCGCCATTGAAAAGTCAGTTTCCCTCTGGAGATATTCCCTTCTCATTCAGACAATGAAAGCATAAAACTAAATGTTTTCCAATTCCTACCTGATGTTCTGTTGTCCCTGCTCTTTCCTGTCACACTGAAATTTTCGTGCCAAGTTTAAACACTCTTCAAATAGTTTCTTCTTCTGTCTAAGCCCCATCCCATTATATCATCTCTGACATCTCACTGGTGGCTTTATATGATTTTCAGGAAATCCTGTGGTTGCCCTGTGTAACAGTATAAACTACTACTCCATTATCCTTAGGGAAGAACCAGTAGCCATCACAGAGACCACAGAAAACTGGAAACATAAAAATCTCTGTTTGACTTGCAGTGATATATATTCATTTACCCAGGAGTCATTCAGCACCTGCCTGGATACAAGCATCTTGCAACACTCGTGAATATCTAGTGGTCTACAGGCAATCACTTTATTCAGGAGCTTGTGTTCTATTTAAGAAGGAAGCATACAAACTGAGGATAGAAGCCTTGGTGTGCTGGGTTTATGGTAATGTACAGACTGGAGAAAACAAGCCTTCTTGAAACAAAGTCCCAGCCCTTAACTGACGTTGCCCACTCAGGATCTTGGCTCCAGTGATTCGCTCAGGGCGCCGGTCTGTATACCTCTGCTGCACTGGGTCCCCATCTCGAGTGGAATGCCTCCTGGCAAGGTGCTCAGTGAGTGAGTTTGAATGAATGAATAGTTGGGTTCAGGCACCCAATTATTTCTTTCATTACCCAGATTTTTAACATTCTTGTTTAAGGTATCAGAAATCTTTGCTAGTATTTCTACTTGGTGAAATGAGAATCTTACACAGATTTATTTAGGATTAAAATATATGCTAACAAGCCTGAAGTTTATACAGATACTTTAAATCTCATACTATAAGTTTTAAAAAAACAGTGATAATTTGTGGGAAATTAAATTAAATTAATAGAATATTCTGGAGTTCTTTATCCAACATTTCCTTCTTATTTGCTCTGCTTGGATCTTCCAGCTTGTTTTATCATACACTGGTCTTTGCTGGCCATGCTGACCCTGCTCTTTCATTCTTGTCATGTTTAAAAGGCTCTTAAAATGGTTTTCTTTGTAACTTTCTAGATAAATGTGCTCTGGCTATTTTGTTATTTATTTGTATACAAGTAAACAAATTAAAGCTAATTCTTAAATATTTTGGAAAAAAGTTAAGATTACCTTAAGCTAAAATTAAAAAGCCAAAATGTGGGGCAATAAGGCTGTATTTTTATTGCAATTTAGGAAGCACAGATTCAAGCAGAAACCACATCGTGTTCTGATTACAGGGTGAGAGGAAGGGGATTTTAGGCGAAAGAATGGAATAATTGCATGAATACAAAAAAAAAACCAAAAAACAAAACACACACACACACACACACACACACACACACACACAAACTTCTATTGGTGCTCACAAACTGATAAGTAAATTCCTCCTTGCCATTGTAGGGGTTCAGAACTGGCCTCCCCAGAGTGTGTAACCCTAGCATTTGTCTAATTTTGAGCCTTAGCATTTGAATTATGTTGAGCCAAAGACAATTAAGACTCTATAGGCTCATGAGAAACTTTTACTTCTCCCTTGAAGAATTTAAATGGAGGAGTTGCCCATAATAAGCTTTTATCAGAAACATTTTTAAACCAATCTACAGGGCAGGGCAGACTGCTAGTTACTGAACACCTCTTATTACCAATCTTTTAAAGCCCCACGCTTCCCTACCTCATCTTTACCTCAGACTTGCCTCTCACACCTCAGTTTTAGAAAGGGCCACCTGGTCAGTCTGACAAGTTCAGTGACAGAAAGTAACCTCACAGGGTGACCTGACCATAACTTGCTAACTAGGCAAGTCCCAATGGGCACTCATGCTCCAGGTCTGAAAGGTGTGTCTGCCTTAAGCGAGCTCTGCCCATTCTTCCTGTGCATCTGGGTTAACACACCTTTGACGTGTCCAAAGTGCTCTTTTCCAGACCCCTCTCAGGTATGGCCGCCTCATGGAGCACATCATCCTGTTACGTGTCCTGCCCCCCTTTTGGTGCTGGGACAGCACTCCATGAGCTGAGCCACACTGGCCAGGCAGGACGCCCATGACCCCCTGTGCCTTCACACCTCCCTGAGATCCCTCCTCTTGATCCACTGGTGCTGAGGTACAGGCATGCTCATGTTCCTACAGCTGCTACCCGGTGCTTCCTCAGATACCACCACAGCTCTGGAATTTCTCTGTCCTCTAAGCTCCCCTGAGAGCCCAGACCGGAGCTCCCCTCCCACACAGTCTCCCACCCTCATCTGAATCCCCACTCCCCACCAGCAGTAACCTCAACTTCCCCGCTAGGGAAATCCACTGCCCCTTACAGGTCTGTGCCTTTTATTCAGCTTCTTCCTTCCCTTCCCACTTTGCTTCTCCTTTTTCTATCCTCTTTCTGGCTTCCAGCCTCTCTGTGTATCGGATGTGAGTGCTTCTTGTTCTTCAAAGCAAATCTCTTGCCATAAAAGGATCTTAGGACTGAGAGTCAAGATACATTCCTGGATGAGACACCTGCCGGATGCAGTGAATTGGAGAAAACACAGCAGCATTCTGGCCTCAGTTTTCTTATCTGTAAAATAACTGGTTGAAAGAAGTAACTGTTGTCTAATCTTGTCAGCTTTCCCTCTAGCATTCTGTGCGTCCTACTGGGCTCCCTTTTCTAACCATTCATGTGCTCCTCCTCCCCATTTTGATTTTCCCTCATTTTTAAAACTTTACTTTTTAATTAGTTTATGTTAAATATTATTCGGTATTACAATAGTTTTAGGTGTATAGCATAGTGGTAAGACAGTTATATCCTTATAAGGTGTTTCAGTTTAGTAGTATTAGTTTCGGGTGTACAGCATAGTGATGAGACAATTATGTCCTCACAAAGTGTTCCCTCCTTATTTTCAGTGTCCACCTGGCACCTTATATAGTTACTACAGTATTAATAACTATATTCCCTGTGTTGTACTTTACATCCCTGTGACTATTTTATAACTATGAATTTTACTTCTTTAAGAAAAAAATTTTTTTTTATTGATTTCAGTGAGGTAGGGAAATGGAGAGAGAGATGGAAACATCAATGATGAGAGAGAATCATTGATCTGCTGCCTCCTGCACACCCCACACTGGGAAGGAGCTCACAACCCGGTCATGTGCCCTAACCTGAATCAAACCATGACCTCCTGGTTCATAGGTCATTGCTTAATCACTGAGCCTTGCCAGCCTGGATCAATTTTACTTATTAATCTCTTTTCTTTTTTCACTCACTCAATCAATCCTCTTTCCCTCTGGCAACTGTCAGTCTGTTCCCTGTATCTATGAGTTTGTTTCAATTTCTTTATATTCCATGGATAAGTGAAGTCATGTGGCATTTATTTTCCCCTGATTGGCTATTTCACTTAGCATAATACCTTCTAGACCCACCCAATGCTGTCACAAATGGAAGATTTCATTCTTTTCATGGCTGAGTAATATTCCACTGTGTATCTGTACTACCACTTTCTTATCCCCTCCTCTATTGATGGGCACTTGACTTGTCTCCATATCCTGATACTTCCTTGTTTCTCACTTCTGCATGTCTTAGCAGTCATTCTCCATTTACCTTCCAGTATAGTCCCAGCCTCCTCTCCATTTCCTCATAGTCGCTGTCCATTCAATATCATCTCTATTATCTCAGTCTTTCCTTTCTCTCTCTCTCTCTTTTTTTTTTTTTTTTTTTTAAATATATATATTTTATTGATTTTTTACAGAGAGGAAGGAAGAAAGATAGAGAGCTAGAAATGTCTGATGAGAGAGAAACATCGACCAGTCGCCTCCTGCACACCCCCGACTGGGGACATGCCCGCAACCAATGTACATGCCCCTGACCGGAATCGAACCTGGGACCCTTGAGTCCGCAGGCTGACGCTCTATCCACGGAGCCAAACCGGTTTTGGCAGTCTTTCCTTTCTCATTCACTTTCAACACTAAAGCATTGTTTTATTGCGTGACCCTTAAATTCCTGTGTGTACTATGTAAATCACAGTTATGGGTTTTATTTCTGGAATTATGGCACAAAACATTACCTGGGAAGACTGCAATAGTTCTCATGTGAGGGAAAGTACAGGGATGGAATGAATCTCAAATGTTTTCTCTTTCCAGCCAGTGTGGCTTAGTGGTTGAGCACTGACCCAGGCTCCGTTCCTGGTCAGGGCACATGCCCAGGGTGCAGCCTCAGTGCCCATTCGGAGGACTGCAGGAGACTGTTGATGGAAGTGTCTCTCATTGATGTTTCTATCTTGCTCTCCTCCCTTCCTCTCTCTCTAAAAAATAAAAAATCAGTGAAAACATATTTTTAAAAAATCTGTTTAATCTATTATACTATACACTGATTGGCCAGGTTATTATTGTGGGTTCAGAGATCATTTGAGAGGATCCCTGATTAAGATCTGCAATATTTGATGCACTGTTGCCCCTCTGTTGTCTTGTACCAGTCTCTACAGTCTCCGTTCTGCCCTAACATTGACTAGTAGCTTATGGCCTCAATTTACACGTTTAGAGTTGGACTAAGGTGACTAGACGTCCCACTTTTGGCGGGAAAGTCCCGATTTTTAACAATTTGTCCCTCTTCCCGCGGCGTTTTAAAAAAGTCCCATTTTTTGGAAAGATTCTTTTAAATCTTTTGGACTTTTTAAAAATGCCGCGGGGGCCGGGCCCAGAGCAGCCGGGCCCAAAGCAGCTGGGTCGGGTGCGGCCAGGCCCAGAGCAGCTGGTTGTGGAACGGACCAGAGCAACAGAGGCCAGGCCCGGAGCAGCCAGGCCCGGAACAGCTCGCTTCTCGCCTGCCCCTGCCCCACAGCTGCCTCTCAGACATGGCTGGAAACTTTTGTGGGAATTTGAGGGTCTGCTGAATCAAGTGATGAAGGCTTAGATCTGGATGTGTTGAGTTAGTATAGCACTGGGGTGCTGATCTGTGAGTGCCTTGGGTGGGGCCTGGATGAGGCTGGTTGGCCTATTTGGAAATGTCTTTTGTGTGAAATGTATCATTGGGCATGTGGAGGTATTATTGATATGAGAAAATGCTAAGTAACTGATTTACTATCTGAAAAGGGATTTACTATCGGGAAAAGGGAGGGAGGAAGAGACTGGACATAAACTGTACACCTATGGATGAGGACAATGGGGGAGGGGAAGGGGACGGAGGGTGGGGTGGGAACCTGGTGTAGGGGGGAAGAAATGAGGAACCTTTGTAATAATATGAACAATAAAGATTGATTTAAAATAAATAAATAAATAAATAAATAAAATAAAAATAAATAAATAAATAAATAAATAAATAAATAAATAAATAAATAAATAAAAATGCCGCGGGACGTGGGACAAATTGTTAAAAATCGCAACTGTCCCGCCAAAATCGGGACGTCTGGTCACCACTTAAATTACAACATAATTGATGCCGCATACCATTGCTATTAGTCAGTTGACTAACATGGAAAAAATTAACTTTTATCCCCATTTCATAGCACACACACAAATCAGGTCCAGGCTTATTGAATATCTAAATGTAAAAGGCAAGCTTCTCAAAGATAAAGTGGTTTTCAAGGTGATCCTCAGACTATCAGAATCAGCGTCACCTGAAAGTTG